AAGTGCACTGTGCAGTAGTTCAAGATCTGCATAAATCCTTAGGACAATAACGTAGCCAACGCATTAGGTGGGGTAGTTCCAATATTTTTATAATGCCAGATGCATCTAGTATCCAATGTGAGACACCATATATTTCAATATAAATAAACATAACTGCTGGTTAGTGTCTATATTGGTATCATACTTTCACTTATAAGTAGCAAACGATCCAGAAGAAACAAAAGCTGTCCTTTATCTTCATCTTAGTTCAATCTCCAAAATCCCACAAGTTTCATTAAATGGATTACTGTTTAATTCTGCAAGTGTTCTATAGATCACATTAGGAGATCTACTTGACAAAACAAACGTCGCTCCAAACAAATGCACTGACAAAGTTTTTTAGATTTTCTTTTAACCATTAATAGAAGACAAGCTATCTATTAGACTAGACTAATAAAAAGGACAGAAAGAACTACATAACGTGTTTCCAGCCTTACAACATAACCTTACTATCATGTTTAAAAGAAGGCACTACAGAATCCAAGCAAACAAAATCTACTCTATGCAAGTCCCACCCAATAAGAAGGTAACCAAAAGAGGCAGATATGTTCAGCACTGGAAAAAAAAGGCAACCAACAGATGCAAAGTGACAAATCCACCAAACGAATCATTAAGATAACCGAAGGGAAAAGGAAATTTAGCTTAAGCAATGGGTGAAACACGACCAAAATGAGATCCGCAGCATCTACTGCCTAATTGGAAACAACACCATAAATCTCAATACATGGTGGCTTCATAAACGACAAATTCTATAGAAATATTCCTCAACTTGCTGGTTACCATCTCAGGTAATGTAAACATAACCACCACGATCTATCTTTTTGACAGAAAACATACACAATAACCACTGAACTCGATTCAAAGTGAAATGCAGAATAAGATATTTCCCAAGAAATTATCAAGATATCGCGTGGTAGAGCCTTCGAAACAATTTCAAAATAAAATATCAGACATAGGCACAGTTTTCTACAAACAATTAGTCCAAAATTGGTTATATCACATAGACATTTATTTCTACAGGGTTGTCAATCCATCTGTAACCATGAATACTGAAAAACAAATAATAAACAATATGGCAAGAAATGACAACGAAAACTCATTTGCAATAGAACATATCATTTCCTCTTCTCCTTTGATTACATATAAAACACCAAACACCAACTCCAAACATAAATTCTACCAGTCATAATCCAAAAGATAAAGAGAACAAGAAAAAGAAATACTTACTAATTAAAGAATCTAAGTAAATAGTAACATTTTCAAGAAATTAATACATAAGGCAAGACACTGAATATGATAATTGCAAGAACAAAAAAGAAAGAGAGAGGGTCTCACATTGAGCACAGTGAAGGCGATTTCCCAGGGATGAAACACATTGTCCTTGTAGCCAGAAAGATTACAGAGCCCCTCAAACTCTTCATCCCACTCCACCAAAACGGCACCGTCTTCTCCATCTTTCACCTCTTCTTCTTTAGTGCAGTTCCTCTTCACTGTCTTTCTAAAAGCAGCTATCTTTGGTGGCCCTTTCCACCTGATCTCCACCGCCACGCCGCCGCCGCCGCCCACGGCGGAGGAAGCCACCAGATTTTCAAGCCTGCTTACAAGAAGCTTCACCTCAAATTTCTTGGATATAAGAGGCGGCCATGGACGCCACTTCATCATCTTCACCACCATTTCAAATGGCAAAAAGATTTGGTTATTCCAACAACCTTTTCAAGAAACTCTTGGATTTTTTTGAAAGATCCGTGAGGACTACATGGGTTTTCTTTTTTGGGGGAAAAATGAAAATGGGTTTGGCTTTAGAGAGGAAAAGATTGAATTCTTTCAAATTTTCTCTGAGGATTTTCCTAGAAAATAGAGAGAAGAATATGCCGTTAAGTTTTTCAGGGTACCTCAACAAATATACAAATATGTCTTTGTTGGTGTGTGTGTGTGTGTGAGAGAAAGAGAGAGAGAGAGAGCGCAAAGACTAGGGGAGGTTAAACCGAGGTTTTCAAAGTGTGTGATTTGTGTTTTGGGTTCTTGTGTTGTGTGGATAAAACAACAACCCCGGATGTGCCCGTGGGGGTGGGTGGTTAGAAAGGGGTGAGTGGGTCGGTGAAAGTGTTGATTGTGATTTGCCGAATATAACGGCGTGGGAACAAGCAAGTTGACTTGCATTCTACCTTTTTTGATGGTCAAGATGATCAAGGATTAGGTTGGTTCAAAACTTGGAAATTCTTGGTGCTTTGCCTCATATTTCCTTTTCTTATTTTTTAAGTTTCTTTTTATAATATTCACTACTTCATTTTTGGTTTCCTATTCAATTTTTGGTATCCGGGATTCTGATTAATTTAAATTTGTGTGATATAAGACCTATCAAAAAAATACTCTCTAATTACATATAAAAAGATTTTATCCATCATACCATAAATAATGAATTTATTATTTTCTTACTTCATAAGTTTTGCTGCATTAAGATGATATTTACCATGATTGTTTCTAGGTCATATATCAGAAAATAAGAGGACAAAGTGATATTGTTTGGTGATAAAACTTATGTGAACACAAATTTGTAACTAAATGTGGCATATTGATTAAGTGGTTCAAATGACAAATTTGCAATCTAGAAGTTAATGTGCATAAAGAGAAAAATTAGGCCTTACTCATTAAGCTTTGTTACGTACATGCAAAGAAATAACTATGTTTGACATGGTATGCAAAAATCAATGTGTAAATTTAGTTAATTTGATACTGTTTAGAAACTAACAGTTGTAGGGAAAACAATTTACTCGTTTAGTGTTTAAATAGAAAATTAATGCTTACTTTTTGATGATCGTTAGCCATTAGGTACATGCAAAAGAGTAACTATTTTCTTGCGTACCATAGTGTTTTATTTTTTGAAAATAGCAAAATATAGTTGTAGGGAAAAACGCTTACTTACATATTTAATCCATGTATATATCGCATGGGAGTAAGTATTTTCCGTAATTGTTGGCATGTTGTAAAGTTGCTTAATTAGTTATAAACAATTATGTTATGTTTCTCCAAAATATAAAAAGTAATGTTGTGAATTTATGTTCATCAATGTCATTTGAGATAATAAAATAAAATAAATATTTGTTAGGCTATTGGGGAAATAGATTAAAAGTAACACTATGACTTTTTGAAACATATATATTATTGTTATTATTATTATTATTAGTATTTGTAAATAGATTTTTCTATATATCTACAAATAATAATTAATGAGTTATTATTTATAAAGTTTCAACGTCCTTCTGAAAAGCTAATTTTTGCGAAATGGAAGGGTTGAAACTTCAAAATAATAATTATCACAACTAATTACTTCAAAAGCTAATTAGCTTCTAGACCACATATATTTTACACTCTTATTATATTTAGCTCCTTATTACTCATTTTTAATTTGCTTAAATAAAATTTAAGATGAAGATGACGAATTCAAAGATGAACATGCATTTGGTATGTCACCATGCGAAATGCATGCAACACCCTTTAATTAGTAATTTATCAAACTATAATAATTGTTGAAAGGAGAATCTGCACGTTATCATGGAAAGTCTACTTGTAAATCTTTAATTATCTTTGATCGTAAAATATACGTCAGGTAATATTTCATTTATAATAACTGAAGGATAGACACAAACACATACTAATATACTTGATTAAACCATTGGCATGCATTGGACGTGTACGATTCTTATTCAATACATATACACTGCTGAAAAGCGATACCAGACGTGAATAGAGATTGAGTTTTCAATTAATTCAGATCATTTGATAAGATTTCTATATAAAAAATATATCTTGAAAACATATAGGGGATTTGTCTATATATATATATATATAATGTATTGTTCGACCAAAAGAAAGGTTTACTCGGTCGAACATGACAGCATAGTGTAGCATAGGTTATTGATAATAGGTGAATTTAACTATAATTAAGCCCTAAATAACCACCTTCTTGTATAGTTTGGATGATAAAAGTGATAACAAAATGCTCTTAGTAGTGTTTTTCATGCTTTGCAGGTTTTATATGACCAGAGAAGGCTATGGAGTACTTTTGGGATCAAATATGGAGAAAAAGAGGCCGATCGTAAAAATTCCGTCAAGTAAACCACGCGAAACAGCTCAAGTCAGAACTGAAAGAGGACTGTCGCGGTTCCACCGCGACCGTGGCAGAACCGCGGTAGAATATGGCTGCAGACAAAGTGAGAATCAGAGAGCATGTTTGGCCGCGGTTTGACCGCGACCGCGGCAGAACCGCGGCGGAGGCGGAGAACGTCAGGGATTAAAGTGCAAAACACGGGATTTTTAGCTCAAAACCCTATTTTAAACACTAGACTCCACCCAAGAGAGGCATGTATTGTTTTAGAGAGTATTTTGGCTAGAAGAACAATTGTGAGAGATCACCCAAAACATCTTTCTTCTTTTCTTTATTTTTCTTGCAAGTTTTATGATGAATATTGTTTTAGTTTGTTTACCCATAGTTATGAGTAGCTAAATTCTTTGTCTAAGGTTTTGATGGAACCTATTGGGGGATGAACTTCTTGTTTATGTGAATACAAATTGCTAGTNAAACAGCTCAAGTCAGAACTGAAAGAGGACTGTCGCGGTTCCACCGCGACCGTGGCAGAACCGCGGTAGAATATGGCTGCAGACAAAGTGAGAATCAGAGAGCATGTTTGGCCGCGGTTTGACCNGACCGTGCCAACAAAAGACTTCAACAACCTCATTAAACACACAAACTCGAAATTGACATGGGTGACGTAGACAACGTCAACGAAAACGTCAGAGATATGGCACCTCATGTGTCTGAGGCTGCACTATATGACTGGGCACAACCCACAGCTGACAATCTGGCCACTGCCATTGTTGTGCCCGCGATACAAGCTGAATCGTTCCAGATCACGAACAACATGCTGCACTTGCTGCAAAACAATGGACTATTTTCTGGGACACCAGCTGAAGATCCTCAGCAGCACTTGAAGAACTTCCTGTCGATTTGCAAAACTCAAAGGCAACCCAACGTAACTCTAGAAGCAATCAGACTGTTATTATTTCCATTCTCGGTGACAGAAGCTGCTCAGCTCTGGCTAAACTCACTCCCCATAAACTCTATAGAAACTTGGGATGAGTTAGTCAAGCAATTTCACATCAAGTTCCACCCGCCCAACAAAACAGCTCAACAAATTGATGAGATCGTGAGCTTTAAACAAAAACCAATGGAGACACTGCATGAGACATGGAGCCGGTTTAAAGGAATGTTGGTTATATGTCCACACCATGGTATTCTAGATCAGATGTTGGGACAACGGTTTTACATGGGACTGTCAGATAGCATGAAGAACATTGTAGATGCCTCAGCTGGTGGGGCATTTTTGAGCAAAACTTGGAGAGAAGGTCAGAGTCTGCTTGACAAAATGGCTCAAAATTCGGGGTGGACGACGAGGAATGCACCTATCACTCCAGTGGTACACTCAGTGCCTTTTGACCCATCAAATTCCATGGCTGAAAATGTGGCGACCCTTTTGACACAGATGAGCATACTCACCAAAAAGGTGGAGGAATCAGGGCAGAAACAGCAAGTGCACATTGTAGATACTACCAATGGGGGCTTGTGCACATCTTGCATTAGTCAGCCAGTTGGTAATCCTTGGAATGCAGAACATGATCATCATCATCAGCAACCCTGAAGACATGAACTATGTGTCAAATTATGGAGGCCAGAGACATGGCAATCAGAACTGGGGTCAGAAAACTCAGCAGCCATACAGACCACCTCAGCCACAGTACAACGCTGGAAACATGGGAGGTATGAGACCTCCCAACAATATGGCACCTTATCCAAGGCCACAAGGGTACAATAATCAACAGCACGGGTATCCCCCACCTCAACAACAGCATGGTGGAAGGCAAGAAGGTGGGTTCACGATACTTGAAGCAATGATGCAGCAGGTTATTTGGTCCAATGCAAAAATAAATGAAAGAGTAGATGCACATGACGCAGCAATCAAAAATATTGAAGTGCAATTGGGCCAAATTTCAATGTCTCTGAACAATCATCCTCAGGGGACATTACCTGCAGACACCCAGATTAATCCAAAAGATTAGGGCCCAAAGCAGCTGATGGCGGTGAGTCTCCATAATGGCATGGATCTAGATGTAGAACAAGAGAGAGCTCGAGAAAATATACAGGCTGAGACATTCATTCCAGTGCCCATTGAGCTGGATGAGTCTACGATACTGATAGAAGTGACAGTCCAACCTGCTCAGGAAGAAAAGAACATTCAGCAGGAGACCGAGAAAGTAGCTGAGCCAGTTGAAGAGTCAGTAGTTGAAATAGAATCTGATAAAGAGAAGTCCCAAGTGATTGGGAAGAAGAAACCTCATGCACCCTTTCCACAAAGGCTGGCCAAACATCAAAAGGAGGAGCAGTATAAAAAGTTCTTTGAAATGCTCAAACAAATCCAGGTAAATATTC